CTCTCTACCCATTCTGCTCTGGGCTTTGACTTATCTCTCTACCCGCTCTACTATGTGGGTTTGGGGCTTACGAATGACTCACAAGTGAGGGGGCGTGTTGGAATATCACTTGTGAGTTGTCACACATTGATTCTATAGAGAAAATGAGTCTAGTATATAAGCCTAGTGGGCTACTCCTCCTATCACCAATTGGTTTTGGGATGGAACCTCACTATGGTTCAACTAGGCTCACCCTCTTATGGTGCACTTCATCTGGTGGGACTGCACCCTCTTCCCCCGGTTCTAATATGGTATCAGAGCGGGCTTGTCTTAGGACCTGCAATGACCCTCTCTACCCAGTCTGCTATGGGCTTTGGCTTATCTCTCTACCCGCTCTGCTATGTGGGCTTGGGCTTACGAATGACTCACAAGTGAGGGGCGTGTTGGAATATCACTTGTGAGTTGTCACACATTGATTCTATCGGGAAAATGAGTCTAGTATATAAGTCTAGTGGGCTACTCCTCCTATCACCAATTGGTTTTGGGATGGAACCTCACTATGGTGCGCTTCATCTGGTGGGACTGGACCCTTTTCCCCCGATTATATAAATCTAATATATATGTTGAAAATATCCAATTGATTTGCACAAATATAAAACTATTCTGATTAATATATAGATGTGATTATGGTTGACAAATTGTCTGTAGATTATGGTTGCCATTTTAAATAATTATCAATTATTATTTTTATTAATTTATGTATATTTATTTTATTATTTTATAATAAAAATAAAAATATTTTATTTGTTCATTATTTATCATACAACGATTTANATAAAATTGACTAGTCCTTAAGTATTTAAAAAAGACATCTAAAAAAGTGACTAGAAAAGTGATGGAAGCTTTTTGGATCGCGTTGATGGTGATGCCGCTGCTATTTTCTACAGGGGCGGCCGTTGAAAACAGCGTAAATCCAGACAATTTAATTACTTGCTTTTTTAAGTGCTTGAAATATTGTAGTGGTGACCCTATTTGTAGCATTGTCCACTGTAAGTTGAAGAAGCAGTGCAAAAAGCATGGCGGCCCAGATGGTGCTAGAGATTGAAGTGATTTTTTGGGAAAATAATAAAAAATCTTACTGATTAAATCTTGTTCTTAGTATTAAAGATTTTCACTTTAGTGCTAGACTTTTTATTGAACTATTCATTATTTTTATGTCTATCTAAATGTCATGTGAGAATCAAGACTAATTAAAAATGGGTTGATATACTGATAATAAATTATATCAAACTTAAATTTGAAAAAAAAAATCCATTCAATATTTCTTGGTACAATTATTTCCTTGATACATTGTTGGAGGTCAATCAACTGTGTCTGGACCGCCCACCATAGAATTAGATGCCCGATTTTATTGTTCTTGGGTTACTCTCATTTACTTATTTATTTATTTATTTATTTTTTTTTCAGTTGAATGCAAATTTGTTCATTCAGTAGATTTATATGTTAATATCATTTGTTTATAGGAAAATTTTACCTGTGCTACACGTTTTTTAAATATTTACACCTTTACCGTTCCTACCAATTAAATTGTGTTTATACCTAAAAAATAAAAAGTAATTAAAGTTATGCCTAATATCAGTTACACGATATGGAACAACCTTTCCATGTTTCTAGCCCATAATTTTAGCTCTCAAGATGGAAGGATATCATATTTGAATTTCAATTCATAATATTAACAGATACGGACGGGACAAAAGAAAGAAACACACGCCGGCGAGCAGAATTTTTTTGGAAATCAGTCGACCGACGGTCTTCATTCAGATAAAAAAAAAATATCTGGGGGTTTTGTCGATCGATCGTCTTCGACAGACACTCTTCATTAACAGGAAAAAAAAAACGTCTAGTGTAGATCAGAATCTGTGGCGAGCTCTCATCACTCCAAACAACACTCAAGAACCGAAACATAAAGGCCAAATATTGGGAAGTATATTTTGTGTTATTAACCTTTATTAAGTCTTGGTATATTTTGATTATTTCGTACTGATGTCTTCTCGTTTTTTTTGTTTTTTGTTTTTTTTTGTTTTTTCACCAGATGGATCCGAATATGATGATCTTCATACATCATGGGGGTGAATGGGTGATGAATGATTACGTGAATTACCAACTATCTGGTGTTTTGATTCGAAAAGAAGGCAGCTTCAACGAATTATGTGGTATATTGTGTGAGGAGCTCGGGTTGATACGTCAATCATCTATGCTTGATCTAAAATATAAGCTGAAGGAAGGTAGTCCACTAATGTCGATAAACAGCGATAGCAGCCTTAGCTTCTATGTGTTTTTGGTGTCCAAAGAAGCTGACTACACGAAATATCCGATGTGCGTTGTGGTGAAATATCAGAGTAGTGTTGAAAATTCGTTTGATGAAGAAGTTAATATTGGTTCATCTAATGGCGAATCAAACATTGCTCCACTGTGTTATCCGGAGCTTGACAGGCAACCTAATAAATCAGATGGCACGAAAAATTTCATGTCGTTCGCGAGGAACGTGGCTGAAGAGATGGTAGAAGTGGCAGCATATACCGAAAATTTACTGAACATATACCATGGTTTTGAAATGCGGTTGACAGGCGAGGAAAATTTTGACTCTGGTATTGTTGCTGGTCTTTTAGTAAAAGATAAGGAAACATTACAAATGATGTTGACCATGCATGCTATAAAGCATCAGTATCAATTCAAGGTTGACAAGTCATGCTCCAAACAATATTATGTCTGGTGTGTCGATTGATTAGTATCCTGGTATATCTAACATATATTTTGTTATATTTAACTTATATTTTGTTATATTTAACACTTTTAATATTATGTCAGGTGTGTCTCGAGCGATTGTACATGGTTTGTGAAAGCTTCCCGTATGGGTCGGTCAAATACTTTCTAGGTAAGAGACGTGGGGACTGAACATATATGTGGTTTGGATGTCCGTACTAGTAATCAGAGACAGGTGATATCAACCCTTGTTAGTAGTTTCATCAAGACAACATTCACTAACAATAAAACTGCATATAATCCGGGTGATATCATTGATGACATGCAAAATCAGTTTGGGATAAACTTGACATATCACAAAGCATGGAGGTCGAAATGCAAAGCTGTTGATGAAGTCCGCGGCAAGGTTGGTGAGTCATACGATTATGCTCATCAATATCTTAGTAAGGTACGTGCATCAAACCCAGGTAGCATTGTGATAATGCACACTACATGTGATAAGAATTTCATGTACGTTTTCATGGCACTCGGTGCATCTGTTAAAGGATGGGTACATTGTCGGCCGATTGTTATTGTCGATGGGACCTTTTCGACGTCGGTGTATGGAGGAATTTTATTGACAGCCTCTTGTCAAGATACAAATTCACATATATTACCGCTTTCATTTTGCGTGGTTGACTCTGAAAATAACAACTCCTACGGCTGGTTTTTCACAAAATTGAGAGAAGTAGTTGGTGATAGGGAGGGTCTTTGCATTGTCTCAGATGGTCACGAAAGCATAAGGCACGCAGTAGAAAAGGTAGTAATAAAACATCTCCAGCCCTTTTTTTTTTCATATGAAACATAATGTCTTCACCAGCAAGTAGTATATTCTTAGTAACAGTTGGGTATTTTTTCTGTGACATATAATTACAGGCAAATAGTATATTATTAGTAAAAGTTGAGTGTATCTTCTCCAAAAAAATTTTCTTCCACTAAACTATAATATCTTCCCTAGGATTTAGTATATTTTTAGTTACAGATGGGTATTGTTTTCTATGTATTTTTTGGGTATTGTTTTATATGACATATAATATCTTCTCCAGCTAGTAGTATATGTTCAGTAACATTTAGGTTTTATTCCTATGTAATATAATTTCTCTTTATATATTCGTAATCCCAAAAGGATTTTTTTAGTTGCTTTGCATATATCTAAAAATGTTATAATTAATTTATATCGGTATTCCCTAATGCGGCGCATTGTCTGTGCACCTATCACATCTCAAACAAATTGAAGATGCGTTATAAGACAGAAGCACAGGCAGTAAAGGAGGAGTTTTATGCAGCTGCGAGGGCCTATACTGTAGAGGAGTTCGATAAGCATATAGCACAGATAAATAAACTGAATCCAAATGTGGTACCATATCTAGAAGAAATTGGATTTCACAAGCGGGCAAGGGTTCACTGCCGCCATAATAGATATTTTACCATGACATCCAACGCTGCTGAGTCAATAAATGCTGCCATACGATCCGTCCGTGATCTACCGATAACACCACTACTAGAGGCGCTTAGAGATATGCAACAAAGGTGGAATGTGGCAAATAGAGATGAAGCGAAGGCCACTTTTACTCCTCTTGCAAAGAAGCCATATAGGTGGTTGGAAACGAATTACCAAATTGCAGCAAGATATTCAGTGAGTTGTTATTTATATTTCTTATTTTTATTAATGAATTATAACCGGTTATATACTATATATATACTGACAAGTGTCCCGATAACATATTATGCATATACTAATATGTACAACATATACACATGTTGAACTCCACCTGATTATATACTATAAATATAATATTATGCAACACATATAACACATATTACATCTGTATTGTTTGTGGGATTCTTCTTATTTTATCTTTTTTTTCTTTTTTGTGTTATTGTATAATATTCATGTTATACACCGAAAATATACTATATATATACTAATATGTGTAACAGGTACAAAAAGCCAGTGACAGAGAGTATAAAGTGATGTCTGATGGTAAGGCATTTATAGTAGACATTGAATCCAAGACTTGCACATGCCACCATTTTCAAGTTGATGAGCTGCCGTGCCCGCACGCTATACGTGTGATCAAGTCACTCCACCTGGATCCGGTCCCATTCTGTTCTGATTACTACTTAACATCTTCTATGTTGGCTGTTAGAGTAGGGTACCCGGCGTTCCAATCTAATTGGACGTATTCTACTTGTAAATACAGTCTATTGGAATTATATTATGAATAAGGCATTTCTTTATCTTAAGAGAAAGCATTTATCTTATAATTGCACTTAAGATAAATTCCCTAGATCACTTATGGTTATAAGGTATGGTTGCGCATAGAGATGGTGATCATGGAACATACCTTGAAAGCCGTGATCTTAAATACAGTTCCAAGTCGATGGATGTTTCGAGATGGGATATCGAATAATCCATAAAAGACTTGCACATAGTTTGTATGCTTGTTGGACAAGAATGTTGCATTCCATCAACATTAGCGTAAGACGTAAGTACATTTATGTGGGTGCTTGTTAGAGAACAAGTTCACTGAACATGACCGTATGAAAATTCTTAATGAAGAATTTATTCAGTCGAATAAGAATTTTCATGTTACAATAGTACATGACTAATCCTAAGACTTGAGGCACAATGGTAACTTTGTGCATATTACATTCTACTTTGATTTATCCTTTTGGTAGCTAGCACTATCGTTTAAAGGGATAAGTTGGGTATTATGTTAATATGTATGGAAGTATATTAGTGACCAATAAAGGATTCGACACTTATGAAGATAAGTGAATTTCCTATGTGTTTCATAGTTATTAATCCAAAGTCCTTGGCCAAGGCAGAGATGAATAGTGATTCATAACCGGGTTAATAAACATGAAATAGAATCATAGTTATTAAGTCAATTTGGGTTTTGACAAAATCATACCCAAGACTTAATCGGGAAATTAGATGTCGAAAGGATTTTACATGTATGGAGTTGTAATCGGAATAGGTTTACTCGCTATTCACTTAATACTAGATTCATGCTACTTGCTAGGTGTTACCATGATATGTGGGTTCATAAATTAAAGGGTTAATTCATGAATAAGAGTTAATAAGATTTAACTCAAATTACAAAGTGTTGTAAACCCACTACTAGTATTAAGGTGAACCTAAAAGGTCACACTAATTATGAACAAAGGTAAAGATTGTATTTCTAATGGCACTAGTGGAAAAAACACTTTTAACATCGGTTAAAAATCATGTTTACATCGGTTAAAACCCCTTTTTGAAACCGATGTTGAAACAGGCGATGTTAAAAGTCTGCTCTTTTTACATCGGTTTTGAACCGATGTGAAAAAAACGTGTTCACATCGGTTTTCAGAAAACCGATGCCATAAATATGAAAAATCGATTTGATAAAAAACTTTTTACATCGGTTTTCATAAAAAAACCGATGTGATAACATTAGAATTCACATCGGTTTTCAAAATAACCGATGTGAAAAATGTTTACGTACATCAGTTATTGATAAAACCGTTGTGAAAATACTTAGTGTGACATCAGTTATTACGAAAACCGATGTGAAATCAAGCATTTTTCAACGATTTTATTTAATTGTATTTTTTACCTGTAAATCTAAAAATCTAATACCATAAAATAATAACATTCATACATTCAAAATATTCCCACAATTCAACATGTTACATGACAAGTACTAACAACCAAAATATTTCAACACCAAGTTATAACAATAGTTTCATAGCCATCGACCACAATTTGTCACAAAGTTCAAATTCCATAAAACATAAACAAACTAATAAGTCTATTTTCCTAATGAAGTAACCTCAAATAAAGTACTTCGTCCACCGCCTTTTTACATTCTCAATGTCCTCGTCCAAATACGGCTCATCAATGCTCAATGCCTGCATGATACAAACAAATATTATCACTATAACTTGTATTGAAGTGTGCGAGTTCGAATACTGTAAAAAGTTGATTGTAATAAAAAGTTACCACTCAAACAAGTCAGTAATATCAAGTGATATAATCTCGAGCATATGCCTCATAACAAAATATCCACATGCTTCATCTCCCAATTGTGTTCGACACTTGTATGAAAAAAACATAAAACTATCATTTATACTACACAAACTAAATCGATGCATCCAACCAACAAAGAAATAATAATGCTCCAAAATCAAAACACTTAGCATAATTCAATAAACTTACCTTAGGTTAAACCCACGTCGACTTCTCTATTTCATAGTTATGTTTTCTTTTTAACCTGTGATATGTATGAAAAGCATTGTAACACAATAAATATTCATATAACTAATAAATATTCATATACCATTGAAAGATAAAATAAGCCAAAATATAAAGGATAAATATATTTGAAATAGATTCAACAAAGTAAGAAAATTTAACTACAAAAGCGATTTAATCTATCAATTTAAAAACATACGTATTAATTTTGTCTTTCATGTCTTTCTTGGGATCTCTTCTCAACAAGCACGACCAAACCACAAAATTTTGTTTGGGAGAAAGCATCATCAATTGCTAATGTTCTCTGCCAATCCAAAATAAGAAGATAAAAGTATTTAGTTGCTACACTATTTAATTTGTATGTCTATATATTGTTATTAATCAAAATAAAATAAACCAAATCAAGAAAAGAACCACATTGTGGAGATAAAGAAAATAGGAAGAGCCAACAATATTAACTCATATAACATATAACTTGAACAATTTTCAGATTATTCCTATGTTAGGTGCTAAACTTTTTCTAAACAGAAATGAGAGCATTAATAAGCTAGCATATAATTTCAAGAAAATTATGAGTTTCATGAAAGCATTCGTAATAATTGATTTATGAAGTGAAAATCCAGGGATTCATTTGTATATGGTTTTGATTATAAGATTTGTTTGGAATAGGAAAATCACCTGACAACTTGTTTGAGAAGGAAATAGGAGATTGACTTGGTGAAAAGCACAACTCCACACTAAAAGCACATCTCCACCCTGAAAAAAAAAAGAAAAAAAAGGAACCTACAGCACTAACAGAAAGGCTTAAAAGCTTACACCCTCTCTGAACAAAAACTACTCAAAAGCATATACAACAAATATTGAGAACCACTCGAAATAAAGGATATAATAAAAGTTTCCCTAGCTCAGTAACACACAAACACAAACAGAGACAGACGACCCCAACAAAAGCCAACCAAACATCACTTAGTGTTGTCACATATAGACACAAACAGGTAGGCCTACTTTGCATGTCCCGAGAGTGGTTATGAAGTGGGCCCCCCGCATAAGAGGACTCTGGCCCACCCGAGGACTGGCGGTTCCGTAAGCAATGGCGAGTGGAGTTAGGTGACGGATAGCATGTATTTTGGGGTCCCTCTTGTGGGGGATGCCGATGAGGGACGACCAACCTGTAAATTCCAGGCTGATAGTGGATGTCGGCATCGGGGTCGAGGTAAGCAAGGATAAAAGTGAAATGTATTCAGGAGAAGAGGTGGCAAAAGCCATTGATATGGTGGTTTACGAAGAGTTGGGCGAGGGTGTGATATACAGAGCTCAAAGATTGAGTGAGAAGAGGAAAGCAAGTACAGAACGAGAGCTGGATGAGACAGTGGATCAACTACGGAGGATTTGTATGAAGAAGCTGACATGTTACTGAAAAGGAGAAATTGTACCTAGGGGAATCACAGTAGTTAAAAAGATTTATTTAGTTATTCTGATTTGCTTTCCAGATCGATTTCCGTTTACCTGTGCTTTAGTAATAATATTACGTACCAACAGTATGTTTTTCTTAGTCATTTTGTGATGACAATCCTTTCTCGGAGGACCAACAAAAAATTTATACAGAAATCAAAGATCAATTCACCAGCAGAGACAACAATCATAACAAAACCCTTTAACAATTTCAAAAACCAAGAAATTCAAATCTCAATTTTGGAAACTAACATTTTACAGAGTCAAAGATCAATTCACCAGCAGAGACTTAAAACCCTAACAAAAGTTCAACTATTATCAATCTAAATATAGGTTAGTAAGCAATCAACCAAAACTGAATTCAACTAGCAAATGAAGCAATCAACAATTTCAGTTGAGATGATTTGTGAAGAACGTATTACCAAAAAATGGCAGGCGGTGGTGGACGGACAACGGGCGGCAGTCGACCAACTGCTGTCGTCGAAGGTGGTCGCGTCTCGCTCACGGTCAACAAACTGTGGATGGTCAGGAGAAGAAAGGAGTGGCTGCGCCGGGCTTGCTGTCAACAAACGGCTGTGAAGGTGCGGCGGCCGGTGACGATGAGAAGCTGAAGGTGCGACGGAGGGTTTGAGAGCAATCGGTTTTCTTGAGAGAGAGAGAGAGAGAGAGAGATAGAGAGGGCTTATTAATTGATTTTAGGAAGTTTGACACATCACTTTTGGGCTGACTTCACATCGGCTTTTATTAAACTGATGTCTATACACAGGCCCGTACATCGGTCTTTTTGAACTGATATTGTAATTAATTTTTTTACATCGGTTATACATAAAACCGATGTAATAAGTGTAGCCTATCAAATTGTTCACATCGGTTTGTAAGAACTGATGTGCCTAATGAAAATTTATTTACAAAAATACCACCGCCTTAGTTATTTACATCGGTTTCGGCAAAACCGATTTCAACATCTGATGTGAAAAGTATTTTTTACATCGGTTTTGGCAAAACCGATGTAAACACCCGATGTGAAAAGTGTTTTTTCTACTAGTGTTAGAATTAATTGATAAATACCTAATTTGACTAGATATCAATTAAAGGAATATATTAATCAATAAGATTGATTAATTACATTTTGGATATTACTTTAGTAATTAAGGTAATTACTAAATTAATAAAGTTGAATTTTAAAATAGAATTTTAAATTTCAAAAATCCAAAATAATAATAATATGATTATTATAATATTGGGAAAATGATATAATAATAAAGTCTTGAGAAAGATTCTCAAGATTTATTATCCAATTATTATTTATATCTTTAAATATGATTTAAGGATTAAAATAATAAATATGATTATAATAAAATGGTTGTTGATGGTTGTTTGAACTACTTAACATATCTTATTATTTTCAAAGTCAAAAGTTAGTAAATACTATTTAAATAAAATTTGATTTTATTTAATATTACTAAATGTTGATTATTTTATGCTAAAATGTTTAGTATAAATATATGCAAAATGGTTTTGCATTTAAGTGAAGTTTTTGATCCTAAATTTCTAAGTGTTAGAAAGAGAAGAAAGTGTTCTTCATAAAACTTCAAGAAAGAGTTCTTAAAATTCCCAAATAAAATTCATAAATATTCCTATACAAGAAAACCGAGTCTTTTCTACTAGCGAAGGAAAGTCGTCGGAACCGGGCTTCATAGGGTGGATACGTTTAGAGGGAAGACACTTGGATTCCTCTAGCGAGTAACCTCAAGTCGTTGAAGTTACAACCGGGAACCGATTCCCTCATCCATCATCAATAGTGAAGGAGTTCAAGACATTCGGTAAATATTTTTACTAGTATTTACTTTATAGTAACAAATCAAAATTTGTATATGATGCATGTTTTAAAGATGACGATCAGTTAATTCGCAATTAGTATGTACGGGTGTTGTATTTATACGATAAATACTTACTTTAAAAATTTTAAATTCCGCTGCGTACAGCCCGTACGGTACTATCGAACCCAACAGTGGTATCAGAGCCACGGTTATCGTCTTTAAAACAGATTTTGATTTGTTAAGACTTATGAGATAAGCAATATAATTAATTTTTTATATGATAAAAATATTAATTATAAAATTAAAAATCGTTTTTAAGCCACACGAGTCGTGTGACCTTGTCACACGAGTCGTGTGGCATGAAGAAAAATTTTGATTTTAGCTTCGTGATTTTCACACGAGTCGTGTGACCTTGTCACACGAGTCGTGTGAGCTCACACGAGTCGTGTGACGAGCCACACGAGTCGTGTGAGTCTGGGAAAAATTTTGATTTTCAATTCGTATTTTTCACACGAGTCGTGTGATAAGATCACACGGGTCGTGTGACCCTCACACGAGTCGTGTGACTCATAAATTGATATTTTATGTTCATTTCATTAGATGAATGTTTTAGGGATGATCATGAGCCTCATATTCATTATGTTTGAATGGATGTTTTCATTTTCAATATGATTGAATGAATGAATGGATGTTTAATTATGTTTTCAATATGATTGAAGAAATGTAATTTATCGAGACCTGCGAGTCTCTTGAGATGAAATTTGTAAAATTTTAAATTTTGTATCGTTAGAGATTAGATCAAGGTGGAGACCGTTCGATGACAAAGGCCCACGCATGTGTGGGTAATTTTACAAGTTGTAATCTCGAAGGCCTGTGCTTGTACGGGTAGATAGAATAAATGTAATAGAAGTAGTTCTACTATTTGTTTTATCACGTACATATGCATAGATCCATTTTGGCTCGAATGGATCGAATAGGAAAGGACATGATCATCCCACCATGCATTAGATGTATGTTAGGTTTATTTACGCTTTCGTTTCATTAGATGACTGAAACTGGTAAATAAACGTAAAGATGGTAATCGATGAGATCAAGGAACCCAAACGGATTAATTTGATTAATTCCATATCAAATCAATAATGGATAAAAATAAGTTGGAACTTATTAATCCAGGCCTTCCATCAAAAGTAGATGACATGAGATGCTACGATGTTTTATCATTGGCCACGAGTCGTGGGATGATTCTATGTCGAAAGCTGTGAACTCTATTAAATATATTGATATTCGTGAGACGGATTCCTCTTTGTGTTGGCCATGAGTCGTGGGACACTCTGGTGGGCCGTTATCATGAAAGTTTTGATGGGTTTGATTTGACACCGAGTAATATATATGGAGTCATAAAATTGAGGTATATAAGGAAAGGTGAGGCAAAACATCTTGAAGGTTGTATAGAGATACAATTGTCAAAAAGTTGACTACCGATAAAATTGTTTCATGGTGGCATCATAAAATTGGGACATGAAATATTTTTATTGGACTTCAAGCCCACTATGAAAATAATGATTTTCATAATTATAATGAGGTTCTAATTAAATTAGTGGGAGACATTTAATGTTAAAGACCTAATATTAAATGAATATAAATTCCATAGTCTAATTATTTTCTGCTTCGTTTGTTATTTTTGTAGATCAAACTACTAAAATGGCTAAGAATCCAATCGCGAGTATCCTTGATCATAATAAATTAACTGGTCCCAACTTCAATGATTGGTTGAGGAACCTAAAGATTGTTCTTCAGTCTGAGAAGCGAGAGTATGTTTTGGAAACAGCTCCTCCTCCTCCACCGGAGGATCAGACTGCTGAAGAGTATGGAGCCTACTTGCGTCATGTTGATGACAATCTCCAAGCTCGGTGCTACATGCTAGCATCAATGTCTAATGAGCTACAGAGACAGAACGAATTACTGAATAATGCTTCTGAAATCCTAACTCACCTGCAAGAGTTGTATGGTGATCGGACGCGACAAATTAGATATCAGATATCTAAAGAGCTTTTCAGGTGTCGTATGACCGAGGGCTCTTCAGTTCATGATCATGGACTGAAGATGATAGCTCTTGTGGAAAGACTCGAATCACTTGGAGTCATTATGGATAATGAACTCTATGTGGATTTATTGTTGCAATCTCTGCCAGCGTCATTCGATAACTTTGTCGTTAACTACAACATGCATAATATGGAAACTGATCTTCCAGGATTATTAAACATGTTGAAGACGGCTGAGTCCACCATTAAAAAGGACAAGCCGGTACTTCTTGTTGGATCCACTTCCGGATCAAAGGCTACTAAGTCTAAGAAAAGGAAGAGGAAGGGAAAGGTTCCCAATAAGCCCAACAAGAAGGCATATAATGATAAAGGGAAGAACAAACAGAAGGTTAATTCTCAGGCCGATCATGAATGTTTTCATTGTGGCAAAACTGGGCACTGGAAGAGGAACTGCAAGGAGTATCTTGCTAGTCTGAAAAGTTCAGGTATTTATTTTGTTGAAGTTAACTTGTCTGTTAACGATTCTTCTTGGGTATTGGATACCGGCTGTGGCTCACATATTTGCAATGATTTGCAGATGATGGCAAGAAGTAATATGCTAGATGGTGAAGAAACAATCCTAAGGATGGGCAATGGGGCAAGAGTTGCTGCTAAAGCTATTGGGACTGTTTATCTAGCATTGAATAATGATGTAAAGATTTGTCTATCAAACTGTTTGTATGTTCCGGATTTAATAAAAAACATTATTTCTATTCCAATATTGGATAAGGAAGGTTTTAAGTTTGTCATTGAAAATGGAAAATGTTCTATTTTCAAAGACACAACTTTTATTTATTCTGGAAATTTGACAAATGGGTTGTATACCATTACACCACAAAGTCCCATCCTAACCATTCAACAAAATAAAAGGAAATTAGATAATCATAGTTCATTCACAATTTGGCATGCTAGATTAGGTCATATATCCGAAAAACGGATTCACAAATTGGGACCTAAACTCGACCTTAGGGGAGAGGATAGGTTGCCTACATGTGAGTCATGTCTTAAAGGTAAAATGACTAAATCACCATTTGTTGGACAAGTGGAGCGAGCTAAAGGTTTGTTGGATTTGATCCATACAGATGTTTGTGGACCACTAAACGTTAGTGCAATGGGGAACTATCACTATTTCATAACCTTCACTGATGATTATTCACGGTATGGTTATGTTTACCTATTGAGGTACAAATCTGAAGTATTTGAAAAGTTCAAAGAATTCAGAAATGAAGTGGAGAAACAAATTGGTAGAAATATTAAAGTTCTTCGATCAGATCGAGGAGGTGAATATTTGACTAATGAGTTTCTTGATTATTTAAAAGATAATGGGATTGTCTCACAGTGGACGCCTCCTGGAACTCCACAACTCAATGGGGTTTCAGAAAGGAGGAATCGAACATTGTTGGACATGGTTCGATCGATGATGAGTACCACTGATCTACCTCTTTCATTCTGGGGCTATGCCTTAGAAACAGCAGCATATATTTTGAATAGAGTGCCAAGTAAAGCTGTACCCAGCACACCTTATGAGATATGGTGTGGTAAATCACCCTCATACAAATATTTACGAGTATGGGGTTGTACTGCTTATGTAAAGCAGTTAGTGGGAGGTAAGTTGGATATGAGATCCATCTTATGTAAATTTGTGGGGTATCCTAGAGAGTCTATTGGATACTATTTCTATGATCCCTCTGAACAAAAGGTGTTTGTTTCGAGGAATGCTGTATTCTTAGAGAAAGATTTTATC